TTTTCATCTTAGGAGATTCACTCTAGCAGCTGAAGTTGAAGGTCGGAGAGTGGGAAGAGACAAGCACCAGAAAGATCAGTGTTGAGGCTGCCACACAAATCTAGGCAAAAACTAGAGCAAGAAGTAGTTTTAGACCTTGCTCTATAATATGAATGGTAAAATGTAGCATACATAACACCACCCTAACTTTTTTTTTTTTTTTTTTTTGGTTCCAAACAGTTTACCTTAAAATACAGCTGACCTTAGGGACATCAGTCCTTTCTACAGTCAAAATTCCGCGTATAACTTTTTTTTTTTTTTACAAATAGTTTATTGTCAAATTGGTTTCCACATAACACCCCGTGCTCATCCCCACAAGTGCCCTCCTCCATGCCCATCTACCCCCCCCCACACCCATCAGTCCTCAGTTTGTTCTCAGCATTCAACAGTCTCTCATGGTTTGCCTCTCTCCCTCTCCCCCACTATTTCCCCCCTTCTTCTCCCCCATGGTCCTCCGTTAAGTTCCTCCTAATCCTCCTATACGTGCAAACATATGGTATCTGTCCTTCTCTGCCTGACTTATTTCACTCAGCACNTGTCCTTCTCTGCCTGACTTATTTCACTCAGCACAACACCCTCAAGGTCCATCCATGTTGCTACACATGGCCAGATTTCATTCTTTCTCATTGCCATGTAGTATTCCAAGGTATAGATAAACCACATCGTCTTGATCCATTAGTCCGAACACCACCCTAACTTTTTATTCTCATGGCAAACATTACTAATCATTCAGTGTTCCCTCTTAAACAGCTTGGGTGGGCTGCTCCTATAGACAGCCATTACCAATCAATCTGAGTAGACACACTGGATGAAAGAAATTTGCCTCTGGGCTCTGTTATATAAGGCAAGGAAAAGTAATCAGTTTTGAGAATATGCTTACATTTGCTGACAATTGTCGCTTTGGGTCTGTCCCAACCTGAGGCTCTGGAAGTACGACCAAAGTGATGCCCTAAGTCAGTCTTTGAGGCCCCTTACCGACATTGTACCTTGCCCTGCTGTGTGGCCTCTGTGTTCCCACTTAGAGCTTTTCCACATCCATGATCTTATCTCAACCTCACAACATTCCTACAAGGCCAAGGTTGTCATCCCCATTTTACAGATGAGGAAACTGAGGTAAGTAACGTCAAGTAGAGGGCTCAAGTTCCACAGGTGATAGGTGGCAGAGCCGGGATTCAAACAGGGCTGTCTGGCTCCTTCCAAATAAGCGTGTCCTGGCGGCAGCAGCTGCTTGCATCTGTCAGGGCCTCACGCAGAAAAGCCAGAACAGGTTGGGGCCGACATCTTGGCAACAGTGACTTTCTCTGTCAAAAAATCCTTGCCTTAAAAAGACCTGGGAAGCTTGACTTTTGAGTCAGCCTCATCTAATCCGCTGTGTGCTGAGCCATGGAGACGGAAGGCTCTGGCCCCTGGGTGGGAGTGGGGGGGGATCACTGAGGGGGTGCAGCACAGATGGTGAGGGGTGGAGGCCTCTTGCTGGGGAAGAGAATAAAGTTTCTGTCCTTGCACAGTCGGAATGAGGGCCCTGGAGCCAAGCAGCCAGGGCCAGGGCGGGGCCAGCCAACCTTTGGCACGTGAAATGCCACCCTGTGCTCATGGCAGATAATTTTCGATAATAATTCATCCCCCCCCGGCAGGCATGCATCCTGAAAGCCCAGTCTGTTCCTGCCTCATGGGGTCCCTGCTGGAATGTGGGGGGTCGAGGGGCTGGCCCCAGACGTGGGCAGAGTTCAGACTAGGCTGGGTAGGCGGGGCAGCGGCTGGGCACCGCCTGGGGGCAGAGGGAGCCTTTGTGCTCTGTGCCCTGGGAGCCCCACCCCCCAGCTGCAGCCGCCCCAGGGGGGGAGAAATGGCCGATGTGCCAGGCTGAGGCCTGCTGTGTTTGTTCCCTCTTCTGGGACAGCCAGGGGAGAGGATGCTAACTTGGGTGCAACCTGGTGTCTGACAGATCCACCCCATCATGCACAGGGGGCTCTTTCTGAGCGGCAGGAGGGTGAGGTAGGAGGGCCTCAACCTAAATGCACAGCATGGTCTTCTGTGGAGCTTTTATTCTTAAAAATTTTTATTCATTTATTTTGAGAGAGAGATCAGGGGAGGGGCAGAGAGAGAAAGAATCCCAAGCAGGCTCTGCGCTGCCAGAACAGAGTCCAACACGGGGCTCGAACCCAGGAACTGAGAGATTATGACCTGAGCTGAAATCAAGAGAGGGATGCTTAACCCACTGAGCCACCCAGGCACCCCTCCTGTGGAGCTTTTAATAAAACACACAAAATCTCAGTCCTCGACCCCAGATACTATGGTATATCATGTGGGGTACCTGGGCATCGGCCCCCTTTAAAACTCCCTGGTGGTTCTGAAACGAGCAGAGGCTGATGTGTATTTTGAGAGGGTAGCACCACCAGCTCAGCCATCACCAGCTGTGTGACCTTGAACACACGAGGTGGCTCAGTTTCCTCATTTGTGAAATATGAACAGCAATAGTACTGATTTTATGCAGTCCCTGGAAAGATTCAAGGAGATCGCACTGTACGGCCGGACCACCGCCCCAGCACAGAGCATACACTCAGATGGTTAGCCCTGTGGATAGTTAGCTATTTTTATTATTTCTTCCTTTCCATGTGAGCCAGAGGGAGATTTTAGAGGTTGAAGCCAGGGAGAAAGTAGAAAGGGCAGAGGGAGGTACCCTCTGAGGATGACATCATTAGGGTGACCAGGGGAGGCTCTGCTTTGACATGGAGGCAGGTTGGGGGGTTGGTTCCTCCATGACCCCAGGAGGAGCCCACACCCCTTAGCAAGGCACGCAGAGCCCCTCTGGGCTGCCCGTGGTTGGAGCACCAGGCACACCTGGTGGGGATTGTTGCATCTGGCTCCCAGGCCTCCCAGTAGGCTCTCAAGAGCAGAGATTAAGACTTGCTGAGCTGGGTGCCCCGAAGGCCAGCACACAGGTGTCAGGCATGTTGGGTAGCCCACAGGCCATGGAGAGCTGGCAGACCAGACCCTCTGAGTAGGGCATTAACTGGTCACAAGGGCAACCAGAGCTACCACTTCCTGAATGCCCACTGTGTGCTGGGTATCATGCTTAGGGCTGACAAAATCACACTAATCTTGCCGCTGCTCCCTCTGGCCGTGGCTGCCATCAACCATGCCGGTGAAGGTCAGAGATCAGTCAGTCCAGCCACCCCCACACTCCCGCCCCAGCCCACTGAACTCTATAGCCTCTGGCCTCTGTTGGCCACCCAGCTGCCTTGAACACTGAATTGGGGCCCAGAGCCGACTGCCTGTCATGACACTATCATTAGGCAGATATTTTCCCCTGAAGATGGGTTTTCTTAATTTCATCCAACTGCAGGATGGAGGGAGTCCCTGGGAATATCCTGTCTGCTTTCCAACCTTAATGATCCCAGATTGCATTCCAGAGATTTCTGTGTGGAACCTGACTTAAGCTGCACAAATAAACGAAAGACGTATGACCCATCCGGTGGCCACGTGTTTGGATCCTTGCACAGCAGACCCCGTATGAACTTGCCCAAGGTTCTGACACAGATCACTATTGGGTGATTAGTGACCATTTGTTGGGGGTCTCCTGAGTGCAGGTGACATGGCGGGAACAGGTTCTGCTTCCACGGAGCTCTGATCCCAGTGAGGGGAGGCAGACCCTCAGCAAGTAAACAAACTGAAGTGCCCACTAGTGAAGAGACAAGAGAGCATTGGACTGGGGCCAACCTCAGACCCAGCCTTGAGGGGTGGCTTCCCTGGGGAGGTGACATTTCAGCTGAGACCAGCCAGTGTAGCAGGCAGAGGGATCAGCTGACACAGGGGCTGAAGATGGGGACACGGGGGAGCAGGCAGGGCTGGAGCTGGGGAAGGCCACCATCCAGATTACCCAAAGCCCAGCATGTTCGGCCTGCTTGCATCAGCCCCAGCGGGGTCTACATGATGAGAAGGACACGGCCCATCAGCCCCCACTGTGGCAGGATTGGCACCGTGCTTCTGGCTGTCTGTACTGTGGGGCATGGGACCCTCGTTATTGCCAGGGGCCACAGGGACAGTGCCCAGCTATGCCAAGGCTGGGGATGGAAGGCTGACTCTGCGTGTGTGTGTGTTTGGGGGAAGTTGGTCTAAATCCAAGTCACCATCAGTGGTTTGACAGCTCCTTGGAGGTACCTAAGTCACCAGGTGAGGGGACCTTGAATCATATGGGAGAATCTATTCCCTCCAGTCCCATCCCTCTGATTACATCAAGGTCAATGTTCACTTGCTGTTGGTTTGCCCTTTATGCCCCCTGACATCTCCTAATCTTGCTTTTTTACACAAAGAGTGACTGGGCTGGGGCTCACAAGCACATATCCACCAGAAGATGGTAGTGCTGTTCATTTTCAGTGTCCCATCCCAGCCACCTTGCATGAGGGGTCGCTGACTTTCTTTTTACTATTATAATATTCCTCCTTTAAAAATTTAAATTTTTTTGTTTTTCCTAACAGCTTATTAAGCTTCCCTTTGAAATAATATTATAGTAGGAAAAAGAATGAAATCATCTGAAAGTGAAATAGTAAACCATACAGAAGATGGTCACGGGGGGTTGGCGAAAGTCACAAAGGTCTGTGCAGGAGCGACTCAAGTTTGGGAAACATGGGACTAAGATGCTCAAGGCCCACCTCCCCAGTTCCAGAACACCGTTTTCCCCAGGAAAGCATTTAGTTAAGACTTTCAAGTGGAGCTTTTGATCATGTATTTATTTATTTAGTTATATGCCACCTTGTTTCAAAAAAGGTATCGTGGCAACTTACAAAAATAGATAAAATACAATAAAGTAAAAAACAAACAGATCAGGGTAAAGATTAAAGCAGAAAGCTAGACTGAAGTCAGAGTCAAGTAGGTGACTCAGTACAATTGTTAAAAATAATCTCAAATTTGACTTTGAGGTTCCCAGCGGCCAACGCAAAAAAGAAAACCCGACTCATTACAAGATTTCCTAACAGTTAGTTTGGGACTTTGGTATAAAACAGACCTGGTGCAAATCTTGACTCTACTACTTAAAGATTCACGGCCCTGAGAAGGTTGCTTAACTTTTCTGAACTTGAGGTTCATCACCTGTAAGGGGAAAAGCAATGCCAACCTTGGGGGTTCCTAGATACATCAGGGATGTGTGTCAGGGTGCCTTCTAGCTCTAGGAGAGGGCTGCTTGGGTCCTCAGCCACCCTTAGGCCCCACTAAGCTGCAAGTTTTCAGCCATAAAAGGGAGTTGACATCTGTCCCCTGTCAGTCCCTACCCTGCCCAAGCATGCAGCATATAAGAGGCAGAGCCAGAGCCAGATCCTAACCCAGGCCTCCCTGACTCCTACCCAGGCTCCCTGACAGCCTTCTCTGGTGCTGTGTGTTCCTGGACCAGTGTGGTCTCCAGTGCTGCCAGGGGGAGAATGCTTTGGAACACATGTGCTTTCCGGAACACTCAAGTCACTCCCAGGACATCCCCAGCCTCACTTTCAGGGCTGCCCCCAGGAGGCAGTGGCCCCCTTCTCTCCTCCATAGACAGAGCAGATTAAATGTTAAGGCCCAGAAATCTCTAGTGGGGGAGTCAAAGGCAGCAGCCAAAGCCCCTTCATGGGGTCAGAACACCGGAGACAGCTTCCTTTGCCTTCGTAGCCAAGGTCAGTAAGAAACACGGGCCCTCCCCAGTCCATGACCTCTCCTGTTTGAAGTACCTGTTGCCAAATGTAATAAAGCCCACAACGAAAACCTGTCCCTGCCTCCCATCAGCAGCCGAACAATTCCAGTTGTCTTAGAATTTTCTTTTCTCTGTTGATTTATATATGATCTGTTCCAAATGTGATTGGAGACAGTCCCTGGCATTCAAGGTTCTTTACAAGCTGACCCCATCCTCCTTCTTGGGTCTCCTTCTTGGGTCTCCTATGTGGATGCAGTTTGTGGCCCGGGCACACAGAATAAAAGCCGCCAGCCACTTCTGGAGCTGCCCCTAGAGTGTCAAGCAGTTGGCAAACAGCATGTACTGATCAGCTCTGGAACCCCAAACTGCTGCAGGCTAAGCTGCTGTGTGACCTTGGGTAAGTCCCTTCACCTCATCTGTAAAGTGGGCACGTTCTGAGTATATACCTTCCCCTGTGGGAAGGCATGGCATGCCTGGTACTCTTGATCCTCAGTGAGTGGTGATGGTTACATGACCTGATTTTGAGACCCGGCTCCACTTAACTGCTTGTACCACAAGTGACTCGTCTGGGTTCTAGTCTGACTATCTGTAAAGTGAGGAAAAGAACCCTTATCTACCACCTAACCCCCACACAAAGGACTGAGAACAGAAGGGGCTTAGTGAGTGTTTGGAGGCGGCAGCCAGCATCATCTCCCCCAGAAAACAATCTTGCTTGTCTTTTAATTTTCCCAAACCAGTCCTTTGTAACTTTCCTTTTTCTCAGATTAATGAGCAAGAGGAGTCTGAACACTTCTCACATGGTTAGGCTGTGAGGTCATGAAAGACACAGTCTTGTAAAACCCACACCCAGGGCCAAGGGAAACGCAGCCCCCTGAAGAGACTGTTGAGCACAGCCTGCCGACGGCTGGGTGGGGGGGAGGCTGGGTGTGGCCACCACTGTGAGTCAGGCCCTGCTTGGCTGGCTACCATCATCCCCCTTTGTTTGAGGGGTGAGTTACAGCTGAAACAAAACATCACCTGGCAATGCCTGACAGAAATGTCTTCTGCACAAAATGCATTTCCTTACAGTTTTGGGTATGCAGCTGAATTTTCTAACATGGCGGCTGGGCATTCAACTATACAGATATTTCAGGAGCTGGCATAGGGACAGAATGAGGGGAGCAGGATCAAGGGCGGTGCAGGGGTCAGCAGTAAATACTCTTTAAAGGTGTTGGGATGGGTTGGGTGCCTGGTCGGTCGTCTATGGCCTTCCCAGGAGGAGCTGCCTCCAAGCCGGGAGAATAAGGGATATAGACAAAGCCCTTCTGGAAGATCAGCTATGACCTGTTCCCCAGTGTGGCCCTGAGCCACTCTCTAAACCTCACTGGGGCATATGTCTCCTTTGGTGAAACAGGGAGTTGGACTGGTGAACTTCTGCCTAGCTCTAAAAATACTTCCTAAGGCAGATGAAGGGCAGGCTTGAAGGTCTTGTCCTGTGGGCTGTCTGGGTCTGAGGCTCAGGGAAGCCACCAGCAGCAGCAGGAGAGATGGCCCACCTGTGCATCCTTGGCCTTGAGTCCTGGGCTTAAGGGCAACCCTGGCAGCAAGATTCTGAAGGTAGGAAAAGCCCCGTCCACAGACCGCCTTCTCCTTCCCTCCCAGCTTTCACCCTTTAGCACTTCCATGCAACCGTAAAGTCCAATGCCTCCCCTGGACCCAGATGCTCCGATCTCAGCCTCCCCTAGGGCCCCCTCCCCACTCCCGCTGGGGGCCATTCCACTAAATGATCAGGTCAGGACTGACACGGAAGAGGGAATCTGTTTCATCCTGCTACCACCCCAGCCTTGGGTCCTAGGGTCTTGCTCATGGCAGTCCTGGAGGTATCCCTGAGTGCATATAGGTTGTGGGTTCAAAGGTCCAGAGAGAAAGGACAACATGGACCACAGGCCCAAAGGCTCTGGGAAGGACGGAGGAGAGGTCCCATAGCCTGTGGTATGTGGCCAAAGCCAGCCGTTCTAGGAGGAGAGGGAGCCTCAGGGCCTGGCCCAGCTGCCCACCCTGGTAGAGACCGGGCTGGCAGACAGCTGCCTGCAGCCTCCTCAGCTGCTGCTGCAGAAACAGATGACGGCACTGAGGAGGAATAAGAGAAAATAAAAATGAGTACAGAGGGAGGGGGAGCTTGGAACAGGGGCTGGTATTTTTCCTCGGGGTGTGGTTTCTGCTCAGTGGCTGGGTGACCATGGAGGTTTGGAATGTGGTTGGACAGAGGGTGAGGTGGAGGGCGGGGGGGGGGGGGGGGGGGGGGGGGGGGGGGGGGGAGGGGGGGGAGGTGGCCAGAGGCAAGGAGCAGGAGTATTAGTCGAGGGGCCTAAGGCCCAGGGCCACCACCAGTTCGGCCAGAACCGGGGCCTGTGGTGGTATATGGAGCAGAGCCTACAACCAGCACTAGTGCATGGGTCCCAGAGGCCTCTGGTTTTGAGTGGCCCCAGGAAGGGAGACAGAGTTGAGAGACCAAGAGAAATTACAGGAGTAGGGAGAGGCCTGGAGGTGTAGGGGAGAGTGGTCAGGTCTCCTCATCTGTAAAGCATGGCCTGCCTGATCCAAAGCAGCTATTTAGGCAAGGGAACTGTCTCTCTGAGCCTCAGTGTCCTCATCTATTAAATGGGCTTAATCATCTCTACCTCCGAGGGTGCGGTGGGGGGACCAAGAGGGATTGAGTGCATGTAAAGCTCTCGCAGGTGCTCTGCAAGTGGAAGGGATTACTAATCCACTGGGTGCCAAGGGAGCTTTATCCTGGCTGCGCCGCATGCCCTGGGACCTGGCCCCCTGAAAACCTAACCCTTGCGGGAGTTGCTGTGGGGAGCCCCCATGCCCACTGCCCCTCCTCTCCTGGGAGCACAGGTCCATGCTCAGACCACGAAGTGCAGGGTGTAGGTGAGCTGGTGGCCGTTGTCCCAGGCGTACAGCACCCGCTCCTTGGGGTTGTAGTCGATCTGGGTGGTGTAGGCGTGCTTATTGAGGAAGGGCAGCTGCGGGCGCGCGTCGGTGCCCGTGTGCGTGTCGAAGGCGTAGGCCACCTCACCCTCCTGCTGATTGTACGTGTCCACGGCGTACAGGATGCCGCACACCAGGAAGCAGTTCCCGTAGGAGTTCCGCCGCAGCCGCGTCTTCCACGTGGTCTCGCGGTGCATGGAGAGGTCGCCGGGGTCCAGGCGGCTCAGCACGATCACCTCGGGCTGGGCCTCATCGCGGTCATCCGCCGCGGGGTAGATGACCCACAGGCCGCTCTCGTCCACCGCGAAGTCGATGTCCGAGTGGCCGCGCCACTTCCAGGGCGTGGTGTCCTCGTACACCACGTCGGGCAGCAGCGCCCAGGAGGCCACGAAGCGCTGCCTCAGGTCGTACTTGATGATGTTCTTGGTGAAGGCGCGGTTGTAGTAGAAGGCGCCCTGGTACACCACGTGGCCCGTGCCGATCCAGTTATAGGGCAGCTTGTACATGTTACTCCAGCGGCCTGTGTGTGGAGAGCCTGAGGGTCACACCTGAGCCTCCAGGACAGCCCCCCACTCCCCCCAACCCCCAGGGACTGGCGCGGCCACCCAGGGCTCCTGAGTGGCCCCGCAAGCAAGGGATACTGAGTGTGCTATGATGGGCCAATCATCCCACCGCACCTCGACCACCGAGGAGGTACTGTTATCATCCCACTTGCCAAGGAGGAAACAGGCAGAGAGTTCAAGGGCGCACAGTTATGGAAGCCGCAGCTTCCCGTCCTATGAAACGAGAATCACAAGTCTCACCACGTTAGGCTGCTGTGTTGATTAGAGGAAAATGTATACGAATCATTTGCACAGGGCCTGGCAAGTATGAGCTTTGTCCCAGCTCCTCTATGCTTTGTCTCAGTGCCTTTGCCCATGGTGTTCCTTTTGTCTGGACTGCCATTCCCCATCCTGTCTGCCTAAGGAAGGCCTCCTTATCTTTCAGAGCCCTTAGCCAATGTTACCTCCTCCAGGAAGCCTTCCATGACGCCTCCTGGCTTGAGTGACGGCCTCTTCTCTGACCTACCATAATCCTTGCCTTGGCACTTTTCACTGGCTTCCTCCACACCAGACTGTGAGCTACTGGAAGCAGGGATCAGGTCAGTTTTGACCTGGCAGAGGAAGGACTTCGGCTGTTCCAGGCCATACCCTGTGACTCCACAGCTATTAGGATAAATCCAAACTTTGATGTGGCTCATGAGGTCTGCCTCAGCCTACTCTCTCATTCTGCTTCCCCCACCTCCCTTCTATGCCTCCCTGCCTCTCATTGCCAGGCCTTGGCACACACTGGGCCTTTTCTGCGTGGAACACCCGTCCCTTTCTCTTCTGCGTGGCTACTCCTGCTCTTCCTCCAGGGCTCAGCTCAGCATCACCTCTTGCTCTGGGAAGTCTCTGATGTGCACCATCCTTTCAGCCCTCCCACAAACACTATACTGAGATTATTTCTTTTAAGCGTTTGCCTCTCACATCAGACCCTACATTTCTGGAGGGTGGGTCCTGTCTAAGTGTCCCCTCCCCCATCATGCACCAGATCTGATAACCAAAATTCTGCCTTTCCCTGCCCAGACTTGCAGTTCCTCTAAGCTCTGCTCACCTGCAAAACAGAGTGATAACCCCCACCTCATAGAATTATGAAGACACCGTGAGCTGATGCACACAGCACGATTAGCATAATAAGTGCTCAAGAAGGGGAAACTCTAAGTATTGTTCCTCTTGACAGTAAGTTACACTTAGGAGGGCAGGACCACATCCATCTTGTTTGTTGCTGCGGTCCAGCTCCTGGCTCTGTGCCGGCACATGGGGGCGCCCTCACGTGCCCCTCCTTGGGGTGGCTGATCATTTGCAGCTAGGCCAGGCTGGGGAGGTCTGGACCACAGGAGACCACAGGCAAAAGAGGGCCCCGTCTCCACAGGAGACCCTCCTCAGGCCACCCACTCCCTGCCCCCCTTCCCACCTCCAGGCTCTCCCACCTTGCTTGAAGTTTTCCAGGTTGCGGAACTCCACCAGGCTGTTCCCGTAGTAGTAGTTGGTGACATAGATCCTGTCATCCTTCGCAGCAGGGTCCTTCATCCACGCTCCCTCGTGGCGCCCGTAGCTGTGGTGCCTCACAGGGGGGTCCACAGCCCGGAGGGTGCCCTCGCAGCTCATCTCCCTGCCTGTGGGGAGTGAGGGGCGCAGCGTTTGATACTCAGACCCACAGGCCCCGAGCCAGAGCAGCAGTCCTGGGAACGTTATCTGGGCCGTACTTAAATCCCTCCTGATCTTTTGTTCACAGCCCTTTTCCCCCTTTCGTCATGATCAGAGCAATGTCTGATCAATGGAGAAAACACAGAACATTCGGTAAAGGAGAAGGGGGGAAATAAAAATGATTCAAGATGTCATTATCCAAAGAAAATTTTAAACATGCTATATTTCCTTCCATTTCTTTTTCTCTTCTTCGCACGTCCAGTCATGCAGACATCCGTTAAAAAAGCGCGGTTCTTCTGAAGATTCAGTTTTATGCATCCTGTTTTTTCCCTCCACTGGGTGATTTCTCACATCATTAGAATGGCTTCTTAATGATGTGATTTCAAGGTTCTACCAGGCCACCAGACAGCTGTGCCCCAGTCCCCTTGGTGTGAGACCTTCAGATTATTTCCAGTTTTCTAATGTTGGAGACAGGCTGGGAGGGAACCCATTAAGCTGCAGCTGTTGTCCGCATTGCCGATGGACCTTTCAGGAAAGATTCCTGCAAGTGGGATGCACTCAGGCCAAAGGAGGCAATGGCTTTAACAATACCTTGTTATTACAGGTAGCCAAGAGGCCCTCCAGAAAGATGGGCTCGATGATTTAATAAGAAAGGCTTTTACCAAAAGGCACAAGCCAAAGCTACAAACGTGGACGTAAAAAAAATTAAGATATGAAAATCGTTGCTGGATTTGGTGATGGGATTCTAGGTGATGTTAGGATTTGTTGAAAATACTACCTGTTTCACTGTAAATGTCCATCAAACTTTCTATAAAGGATCAGATAGAAAACAGTTTTGCCTTTCCAGACCACATACATCTGTATTCTTTTCTTTTTTTTTTTTTTTTTTTTTTTTACAACCCCTTAAAAATGTGAAAACCATTCTTAGCTTGAAGGCCATACAAAAACAGGTTGCAGGCTGTATTTGGCCCATGGGCTGGACCCTACTGACTCCTGTGAGGCTTACTCACCTGGGTTGGGGACGTCTGGGCGTGAAGGTGGCTCGGTGGGCACGGGACGGGTGGTGAGGGTTGGGGTGGGGGTGACAGTAGGGTCCGCGCTGGGGGTGCCGGAGGCCAAGTCCGCTCCCTCCGAGGCCCTGGGCCCAGCCTCGTCTTGTTCTGCTGAGTTGGGCTCTGCTGGCCTGTCCTCAGCCCTGGGCGGCGGTTGTTCCAGCCAGGAAGTGCCCCTGAGCGCGTTGTCTGTGGGGAGAAGACCCTGGGTTCACATCCTGTGCCACCTGCCAGGGTCCTCCCCAGGCCCATCTGGCTCCCAGCTCAGGAGCCACGGCAGAGAGAAGCGGGGAGGCCCTGAGGGGTAAAAGGCCTCTGAAAGTGGGAGGTGGGGAGGCTTTGTGGTCTGCAGACCAGCTCCAAGCCCCCCAGCTGAGTGAGCTCAGCCAAGTCGCCTGCCTTGGTGGGCCGCAGCTTCCCGTCCTATGAAACGAGACTCACAAGGCTCACCACGTTAGGCTGCTGTGTTGATTAGAGGAAAATGTATACGAATCATTTGCACAGGGCCTGGCAAGTATGAGGTACCAAACAGGAGACCCCTTCCCTCCTAAGTGTCAAACACTTTGTACCAGTTCTTTCATGTGCTAGATTCAACCCCAGGAGGCAGAAACCCTTGCTCCCATTTTGCAGACTTTGTCCTGGTCGTCTCCCCTAGAACCCAGCGTGTTTCTCTCACCCAGTATTTGCCACTTCAGGCAGGGTGGGGCAGGCACAGCCAGCCTCCCATCACCTCTGGACTCCAGGTCTCTGTCTCTGTCCCCTCACTCATCTCCTACGTCTCATTTTGTGGCATTTTGGGCAGCCCCCCCCCCTTTTTTCCCCCACCCCTGCTGGTGAGGCCTTTGCTGACAGGATGACTTTTTCAGCTCCCACGGGACCCCTTTGGGGCCATGTCTGGGTCACCCCTGACCCACACACTTCTCTGGGCTGGGATGGATGGGGCCTGGGTAGGGAAAGCAGGAAGATCCAATGACGCACAGAAGGGACAGAGCTGTGAAGGGGTTTCAGGCAGGCTCTATAGCCCCCTGGCCTGGGTTCTGGTCCCACCACTCACTGTGAACCCTGGAGCCATCTCTTCAACTCTCTGAACTTGTTTCCTCACCTGGATCAAGTGCAACAGCGTGTGTGAAAGATACTCAGAAAACGGAGATGTCAGCCAGGGACAAAGGAAAGGTGATGGTGTGGCTCCCAGGGGACGAGGCCCCTTGACTCCAGGACAATTACCTGACTTCTTCCTTTTCTCTCCCTGCCAGGCTTCCTCTTTGCATAGGATTTAGCCAGGCCCCATTGTGGGGCAGCCGGTGGTGTCTCTCGGGAATGGGGCACACCCTCTTTCAGGGAGGCCTGGCCTTGGCAGCCAGCCAGGGCAAGAGGCTTGTTCCCACGAGCCTCGCTGGTAGAGCCAGATGCGTACAGCTGTTCTAGGGCAGTGCCCAGCCAGGGGTCAGAGGCTCTGTACTGTGGCCAGGCTGAGCTGGCAGGACTCAGAGCCAGCCAGTAGCTAGCACCAGGGGCTTGGGAAAGAGGCCTCTGAGCCTTGATAGAGCACAAATTTACCAGGCTCTTAAAGGAGCCTGGTCCCTCACAGTTCCACCTCCTGGTCCCTTGGACATGTGGGCAGAGAGCCTCATAGGAGGAGGTGGTTAACAGGGCCCAGGAAGGGGGAGCAGGCTTAGGATGCCCCTTGGGCATCTCGGGAGGGTCTCAGAGGAGGAATCAGGAGCCACATCAGTGAGGATGGCCCAGAAATTTGGGTACACTTGGAACTTTGGTCTCTTGTTTTTTTGGTTAAGTACTTGGTGGCCTTCACCGTGATCCCCCATGGATTGCAGGCAAAATGTAGGAGTCTGTGGGCTCTTCTTTGGGGAAATAAGAAGTGGAGGTGCTGGAGAGGCCATCCATTCCAAGGCCACTTGGGAAACAAGAGGTGTCCCGAAGGCCCCATGTCATTTCCCAGAACCCTGGCCTGGCTATAGCTCCAGGGGATTCCCACCACACCTCTGGCGGCTACCTGGTCACAGGTATGTTTTTTCCCACTGGACTGTGAAGTCCACGTTAAGCAGAATCTCTGGGAGATACAGCAAGTACATGATGGACCTTCAGCAAATCTTTGAATGAAGAAGGAAAAGTCGAGTGAGGGCAGAGACAGCTGAAGATACTGGAAAGGAACCGAGTGGCCCTTTGTACTGATTATATCACTTCACCCCCAAGAACGCCGTGAGGGGTATTATCACATTGTGCGGATAAACAAAGGGCACCAATAGGTAACCATTGGAAGTGGCATCTGGGAAGTTTGACTGCAGAGAAGACACTGGATCCTTGTAGGTGATCCGTGGGGTGCTGTCCACCAGCAAGCCCCCGACCCCCAGGGGTCCAACCCTCCTCCAACTCACCGGCCACGGCCTCGGCCGCCTCCTTCCTGCCTGCCTTGTAGTAGGTGATGCCTCGGATCACAGCCTGCTGCTGGGCCAGGGCCCGGGGCTTGGCTGTGGGCTGGGGGAATCTGCCCTTGCCGCCCTCCTTCCTCAGCTTCTCCACCTTCAGCAGCTTCTCCTTAGGAGGTTTTGGGAGGCCCTTGTCTACAAAGCTCTTCTGCATGTTGCCATATTTGTCGTTGTCTTTGCCTTTCCCTCCAGCTGTGTCCTGAGAGAGAAGCGAAATCTCAGACTTAGGGGGAGGTGGAAGAGGTGCTGTGGGAGGTCACGGAGGCTCAGCTTGTGGGGGCTGGAAATGGTCATGCCGCTCCAGGACCCATGTCTCAAGTGCTTGTGAAGTCACAGTTTTCTCCCAGAGTGGCTAAGCCCATGACTGGGGTGTGCCTTGGTTTCCCCACTCAGCTCTAGTTCTCAAGCCCAGCCTCATAGGTTAGAGTCCTGTCTCATTTCCGAACACCCGCATACTCACCCCCAGGAGGTAGATTATAATGATCAACTCCCTAGGGAGGTAACTGGTCACCAGGTCAGCTTCCTATCCGTCTCTCTCTCACTCATGGGTCTTTGTTAGTGGGCAGGGAAGAGGTTCTCAGGCTCCCAGGCAAGATAACCAATGTCATCTCAGTGTGCTCGGAGCTGTCCCAGTGTTAGCACTGTAAGTCTTTCATCCTGGGAAGCCCTTCGGACTCAGGCAAACTTGAATGCGTTGGTCACCAAGGGCATTGCCCTTCATGCATGCAGTTTCCAACGTTTTTTAAATTTTATTTTTACTTCCTTTTAAATGCCTCTGGTGCTGGCTTGGCACAAGATCACAGGCCCTGTGACATCACCCATTGTCAGGCAGACTCTCCAGGAGATACAGCAAGTACAGTATCTAGACCTTCCGTGTCGTGGCCAAAACAGCATTCATTCGCTCCTGTGGACTTGACACAGGAATGAGCAGGAAGCCTGCCCTGGGCTAAGGCATCAGGCTTCCTCCACACTTTATCAGCAGCTAGGCAGTCCCGGCTGCAGGCACAGATGGCCCCATCATCACAATGTCAGCAGAGGAGGCCAAGAGGTGGAGAGGAAGAGTGTGGGCTTGCCAGTCACGCAGATGCAGGTTCAAGTCCTGGCGTAGCCGCCCTCTCTCCACGTGACCTCACTCTGCGCTTCCTCATCTGCCAAATGGTCAATGATTGTCCCTCCTCGCGAGTGGTTATGAGAATAACTGAGATCATGTCTGTGAGGAAATCGGGTTTAGATGTTAGAAGTCAAATTTAGAGGATGTCAGGATTCTATAATGTCAGCTCCTTTCTTCCCTGCTCCAAAACACAGGCTGCTGTGTGGATTGGAACAGTTGTGCCCTGCATGTGGGTGACTGGCCGAAGGGGCATGAATGGCATTGAAATTGAATCTGTACTCTTATTTGCCAAGCTGCACACCCTAGTGTATACTTATCATAGGAGGGAGCCTCTGTACAGTTTGCCCACCCCCAGGGGACTCCTTTTTATTTGCCCAGAAGAAGAGCTTTTTTGGCAGTTGTCTGCTTAGAGGAGGGCCTTTTCCTTTCTTTTTTTTTTTAATCTTATTTTTAAATTTATTTATTTTGAGAGAGAGAGAGGGTGCAGAAGGGGCAGAGAGACAGCGAGACAGATAAAAACCCAAGCAGGCTCCGTGCTATCAGTGCAGAGCCCAGTGTGGGGCTCAAACCCATGAACTGTGAGATCATGACCTGAGTTGAAACCAAGAGTTGGATGCTCACCCAACTGAGCCACCCAGGCGCCCCGAGGAGGGTCTTTTTCAAATGCATGTACAGGTGTGTTATATGTCTTGGATGGCTCTGCCTGGTGTCTCTGCTGAGCTTGAATATGGAACGCCTGGGTATTTGCTGCAGGTTGACAAAGTGGTGTTAGTCTGCAGGGTTCCCCAAGGCATGGCCCACCTACCCCTGAGCAGGCGGGGCCCAGGGGGCCAGCCTCAGCAGGAGAGGCTATAAGTGGCTTTACTGCAGCCCAACCCCAGGGCCAGGCAGGAAGCACCCTCTCTATAGCCTTGTCCCCACTAGTTTGGAAATGGAAATGCCTTGGACGCCGCCAAACACCTGCCTCAGCAAACAGACACCTCAGCAGGATCCCCATGCCTGCCCCCACCTTACCTCTGCCAACCATGCCCGCTGTAAGCCAGGCAAGCCCTGCCTCCCCCCCCACCATGGACTCTCCAACTGTGCCAGCCCTCAGCCCTCTCCTATGCTAACCTGAAACCCTCACCCAGCTAGTCCCTGGGACTAAGGTCCTGGCACACTGTGTTCCCAAGTCCACCCACCTGCTAGCCCCATCACCAGAGCCACGGCCTCACCTGAGCCTTGCTGGCAGGGCCAGGGGCTGGGGCAGCATCTGGGACTGTGGCCGCATCCTTCTGCAGCAGCTGGAGGCCCAGGCTGGAGAGCTCCTTCTTGATGCCCATCATGATGGCTGAGTGATTCTCATAGCGCTTCAGCTGCTCACTGAGATGGCGCATGCCCTCCTTCACCACCTCGTTCTCCCGGCTCAGGTTCACCTTGACGCTCTGTGGGGCAGGGCCTCAGTCAGGGTCTTTCTAGCCTCATCTGAGAGCCACTTCCTACCCCCCACCCCCACCCCCCTGGAGGAGACACCTCAGCTTCGCTGCCCAGTCTCCTGAGGAGGGCCCAAGGGTATAGACAGTGGCACCAGCCGGCTTGGATGGATAAAGCATGCTGCCCAGAGACTGTGTAATCATTACTGTCTTATTTAAAAAGTGAAGTAAGTGATGTTTTTCCCTTGGGCAGGGGGAGCCAGTTCCTCCGAAGTGAGGCTGTTTTCTTCACTTCCACCCAGAGTTAGCAATAAGGGTGGTTTTTTTTTTTTTTTTTTTTTTTGAGTTATCGCCTAGTGAACAGAAGCAAAGCACAGATAATGCAAAACAGAAGACAATTAAAAAATCATTTCTTGGTGGCTACGGAAATCATTTCTGATTTGTTCCAGCCACAGCAGATACACTCTCCAGATTGTCTGGCTCCTAGTTCCATGAAGTGAGTTAACATTTCCTAAGATTACTGGAGGAAAGGTCAAAGAAGGATAACCACGGGGCTGGCATCAGGAGTGCCTGGCATGTACTAGGTGCACAGAAAACACTGGCATGCGGTAGCGATCCAACAACTGTTCCCTGATTCCCAGGCTGGCAAGGGCCTGGCACACAGTACATACACACCAAACACTTTTTGGGTAATTAAAAGCACTGTGACCCCAGCCTTGGGGCGAGCAAGGGGTTAATCTCCCACCCAGGGGCACAGGATGCCCAGGTGCCCCCTCCCTCTGAAAAGGAAGCCGGGAAAGGAAGCCCCCACGCCCGCTCCTGGCAGCCGCGTGTCCCCAGGCTCCCGGCAGCCCAGAAGGGGCCGGATATAGGAAACAGGCGGAGGCCAGGCTGTGCCAGCAGAGATGTGTGCCAGCAAACCTTGAACGTGCAGCCTGGACCCCCAGGATTGTCCAACTCTGTCACTGTCCTCAGGGGGCGGTCCTGGCCACCTGCCTAGCCCTCCAGCACATTTGCACTTGACCAGAAGATGCTTAGCACCTCTGCATCTGCTGCAAGTGGGTACTGGGACCGCGATGCTATATTAATAAGCCCTGCCCCAGTGGGCGTAGCCAGTTCTGCACTTTTATATGGCATTTTATAAAGCGATGAGTGGCCCTGGAGTTGTGCAATGTACAAGTCCTGGTCTTGGTGAATTAAGGGCAACTGCAAGTTCCAACCAGCCCCATTCCATATCCCTTTCATGTAGTCAGCCAATGCCTCAGTTTCTCCACCCAGCCTTCCAGCTTTCTGTAGGCCCATGAGCCCAGTCAGACCTCTTTCTCAAAGTCTGGACCCAGAGGCCTGCATTTCCCTCTCCCAGCTGCCTCCTAAAGTCCAGTTTTCAACAGCCACCAGGGTCAAGGCAGAATTGCCCAGGCCCCTTCAGACACTACTAACTACCCTTGGCCACTAGTGTTGACCCAGCCTGGCTCCTGGGTACGGCTCTGCCCTTACCTCTTCCAGTGTGTTCATCTGGGAGGCCACCTTGTGGACATAGGCGTGCACTTTCATCAGGTCCATGCTGTACAAGGTGCCCTCCAGGAGATCCACCATGGACTGCAGCTGCTCAGGAAAGGGCGGGAGGGTTAGGGCAAGGGCAGAACGCAGGATCAGGCACAAAGGGTGCAAAAGGAGCTCTACTGCTTAGAATGGCCTCCATGGGTCCTCAGCATCCATTAGACCCAGCTTGCTAATAATAATCATGAGAAAAGCAGTGGATTCCATTTTTGAACACTTACCGTAAGGCAGGCACTGTGTTAGGCGCTTTTCACTGTTTCACTTAGTCCTCAGGACAACCCAACTGGGTGTGTGGTGGACAACGGAGATCAATCTACATGCTCTGAGATCCCTCTTACCTGTTTTTTGTGCCCGTACCTGGCTTCCATGTGTCTCCTTTTTAACAGCCTGCATCTGTAACTCTCTTCAAAGAGCTGCTGTGTCCCCAGAGTGCCTGGGAGTGTATGTCCTCCTGGGCGGTCCTTAGGCAATGCCTGGCAGGTGTGGGCATTGAAAATCCCAGCTCCCTAGCCCCAGTGGGGACAACTGGGCTGTCATTCACACTCCAGCGTCCCCTGGGGCTGAAGCTGATGGTTAGCCTGAGACTACACCCTACTGGGCTTCCTTCTCTTCCCACCTCCACCTCTACCACTTTGGTACCAGCTTCTCCCAGGATTTTCAGAATACATTACCAGCACATGAATCACTTGCCTCAGTCTGCACCTTGGGACCCAAAGACAAGGTCTGGACAATTTTTTTTTCTTTCTTTCTTTCTTTCTTTCTTTCTTTCTTTCTTTCTTTCTTTCT